AGCAAAAAGCATCTTATTTCATAGCCTATATACACTCTTCCCAAAAAAGGAGCCATCCAACAAAAAGTCACGCAGCATCAACTGTTCCTCATGTCATAAACCTCAACTTTCTTTTACTTTTTTAATTTTATTTTTTTATTTTATTTATTTAGGTTTTTCAAGATGGGATTTCTCTGTGTAGCTTTGGTGCCTGTCCTGGATCTCGCTCTATAGACCAGGCTGACCTCGAACTCACAGAGATCCGCCTGGCTCTGCCTCCTGAGTGCTGGGATTAAAGATGTGTGCCACCACCACCCAGTCTTTAATTTCATTTTTATTACTCAACTATGTATATGTGTGTCTATCTGCACACAAGAGCAGGTGCCCACAGAGACCAGAGGTGTCACAGTCCCCTGGAGCTGGCTGTGAGCCACCTAATGTGGGTATTGGGAGTTGAATTCAGTTCCTCTGCAAGAACAGTACATGCTCTTAACCTCTGAACCATCTCTCCGGCCCCTCAAACTACGACTTTCCATGTCTTCTTTTGGCATCACTAGTGCCCAGGAGTCTGCCTCCCTTATCCAAATCCTCAAAAATTATGCATTTCTACCTATTTCCAAATTATCAGTTGTCACCCCACTCAACCTGAGTAAGACTAATACTCAAGGAATAAATATAACTTTTGGTTGGCCAGGCATGGAAGAGCATGCCTTTAATCCCAGCACTCAGAAGGTAGAGGCAGGTGGATCTCTGTGAGTTTGAGGCCAGCCTGGGCTACAGAGTGAGTAGCAGGACAAGCTCCACAGCTACACAGAGAAACCCTGAAACAAAAACAACAACAAAAATCCTCACAAACCTGACACCAGAATCCAATCCCTGGATACCAGAGAGGAAGGAGAGAAATTGACTTCCAAAGCAGTCCTCTGACCTCCACACACCTTCTGTGGCACACACACACACACACACACACACACACACACACACAAATGAAAGATACATAAACAATTCTTAACCTATTACGTATTGACATCAGAGTTCCTATGCCATTTAAGTATATTTTTCATAGAGAATCCTGATATGATCAGTTTGAAGCTCTGGTCTTTAGGAATTACAAACACAAAAGAAATAAAAGACACCATTACCCGACTTGAATTTTTTGTTGTTGTTTGTTTTGTTTTGTTTTGCAAGACAAGGTCTCACTATGTCACTTTAGTTGTCCTGAACTCCTCTGTAAACCAGGCTGGCTTCAAACTCACAGGGAGCCACCTGCCTCTGCCTTCAGAGTGCTGGATTAGAAGTGTGCACCACCACTCCTGACTGTGTATAGAATGTACTCAGAATCACAAGCAGAGTTAGAATGTAGCATGCTAGTTCACTATTTTCGCAGTTATTTTCAATAGTGTCAGCAATTAAGAAAGGGTGGTCTAGGCCAGAATCACTCCTATTCCCTGATCCAATCACACACTCCACTTGCAACCTCCAATCCACCATTCCACACCCTCTACACCCAGTGAAAGTGCTATTATCAGACACTATGGAGCCATTCAAATAGAATGAACTGAAGCCTTCAAACAGTGGTTCCATTGACTTCTGAAGGACAAAATTCTTAAAATCTATGTTGTCATGAGGGTTCTTATAAAGAAAAGGAATCCTTCATTGTCAAACAATGAACTTCATTCTATAGTAGAGGTAGCTCAGAAAAGCTAAGGGTACATATGGTATAGCTGAGAATGTAGTTTAATTGGAAGAGGCTTGCCTAGCATGCACTAAAGTCCTGGTTCAATCCCCAGCACCACAAAACTGGGTATAGTGGCACAAGCCTCTAGACCCAGCACTTGGGAAGTGGAGATATCGGGATCAAGAGTTCAAGGTTATCCTCAGCTACACAGCTAGTTCCAGACAAGCCTATGGAAAAAGAGACCTTGTCTCAAAGCACCAGGGAAAAAAAGAAAAGAAAAAAGGAAAATCTGACCCAAATTCCATCTACTAGTGATTATCCCATATTACACTAAGCACCACCCTGCAGGAAAAAAATTAGCTCTAAAATCCTGCAGGCACAAATCTTTCTCTCCAGTGTACAGAAAAAGGTACTATTCTCTCAATAGCTATAGAAAACAGAGAGAGCAAAGAACCTATGAAGTATTGTTTATAGAAGGGGGGCAGAGAGGGCTGGCGATGTGACTCAACTGTACAGTGCACCCGCTCAGCAGACACAGTGGCATCTCCACTATCAGCACCACGAATAAAGAAAAGGTGGAGGGGTCCTTTCAGCATCTAAAAACAAGTATCGAGAGTACTAAAAGATCTATTCCGGTACCTAAATAAATGCACATCAGCTGTATTTTAACTAAAGTGAAAGTTTTATATCACAGAAAAGGAAAGAAATTTTCCACATAACACTATTTTCCGGATTCTGAAATCAACTCCGTTATACAGTGTTCACTGTATGAGTGTTTGGCTTACAAGCATGCATGTGTATGCATGTGCACCATGTGTATGCCTGCTACCTGAGGTCAGAAGAGGGAATCAGAGCCTTTGGAACTGGAGTTACACATCCCCCCACACACAGATAATTTATTTAAAAAAAAAAAAAAAAAAGGCTTAAGGGCCTGGAGATATGGCTCAGCAGTTAAGAGCACTTGTTGCTCTTGCAGAGGACCCAAGTTACTAACACCCACATAGTGATTCATTAAAAATAATAATAATAATTTAAAAAACCCTTAATGTCAAAAACCAAGTGGAAAGCCGGGCAGTGATGTCCCAGCACTCAAGAAGCAGAGGCAGGCATATCTCCGTGAGTTCAAGGCCAGCCTGGTCTACAGAGGGAGTTCAAGGACAGCCACGGCTACACAGAGAAACCCTGTCTCTGGAAAAAAAAAAAAAAAAAAACAAGCAGGACATGGTAGTGGCCAATGTCTGTAACCCCAACATTCCAGAGTCTGACACAGGAAGATACTGAGTTCAAGGTAAGTCTGTGTTACATAGGAAGACCAGACTCAACAGAAAATAAATAACAACATTAAAAAGAAAACAGTAAGATATAAATAAATGTCCAAACACATCATATTTTTCAAGTGACGATGGCTCTGCATCCTCTTCATAGCAAAGGCAGATTATGTTAAAACCCTGAGTTAAATCACAGCTACAATTTGGCCAAAGACTGAAAAGTATGGCGGGAACAATGAATCAACAGTGATAACTCACTAAAATGTTCTTTAAACATTTATCTGAGAGGATTTAAGACTTAAAGTTATTTCATTCTAGATTCTAGAATCTACAAGCTCATTCTCGAAGTCCAGCCAATTCAATTGCCTTTTCCTGGGCAAGCAGTGCCTCCCACACGGCCGGGACTGTCCTCAAAGCTCCCTGACAGGAAGCAAGAGTTTAGAAGTTCCTTCCTTCCTTCCTCCTTTAGCTGATGCTTTTCTGCTTTTAGAATTTCAAACAAAGAAAATACATATTGGCTCCACAGCTCAGAAACGCCCTCTTTCTCAGCAACTTCCTCTTCCGATCTCCCTCGCTGCCACTGACGGAGAACAATACCCACAGCTGGACCTACTATTTTGATTAACCCAAAGCTCTCGAGGTTTCTAAAGCTTAAGGGCTGTGATACCCGACTACCCCCTACCCAAAGTCCACTGCCTTCCCTCACCTGAAGATAAGGGCGGCACAAAGAAAGAAACGGTACACTTAAACACAGGCAGGCTCTAGAAACTTTGACCCCAAGGAACCCAGAGAAATGTAAACGAATGTAATTTCTGAGCTTTCTCCCTCCCAATAAAACGTAGTCTTCTTACAGAGAGACAGACACTCGGATAGTCCCACCCTGAACCAGAACTTGGGTGTCAAGTCAACACACCAGAAGCTGGTGAACTTTCTTCTGCAGAACGCAAGCCGAATTCTCTGATGTCCTGTCATGCTTGGAAGTGACTTTTAACATTCGGAAAGGGTCCTTTCTAAGTCACAGAGTGAGAAAAGAGGATGGACTTGTAATGAATAACCCTGAGCTCAAGACCTCGCCTGTCCCCCCACACCAGAAGCGAAATCAAATCTCTGGGCTACACCCCTCCATTTCTGACAAAGCCAACTTTCCTTGTAAGCGGGCAGTGACTTACCCCTGCCCTGTCCCGGGGCTTCCCAGAGGAAACACCCTCACGTTGGTAAGCGCCTCACAGTACTGTGTGGCCCTGAACAAGTTACTTAACTTCTCTGAAACTTGGCTTCCTCACCTGAAAACTTGCAAGGTCAGCTGGAAAAACTAAACAAGAATGTATTCCTAAGGTGTGGCACATAGTAGGACGGCCATAAACGTTCTTCTTGCCTTTCTCCCTCTTCAGTACCGGCTTAAAGGCCAACAGTCGCCCCAAAGGCTGCAAGGATTTCCTCCTCATCTCTCAATCTATGGACGGCTGTATAAAACTTCATCTCAAAGGACCAAAGGGACCTGGCCCTACCCCGTCACGATCTGGTAGCACCCACGCTCTGGTACCAGTGGTCCTGTAAGCCAACTCTCCTTTCTCTACGTGTGCACACGTGCGCGCACACTTATCACACAGTGCCCTCCCTACCCACTCCCCAGCTTAGCAGCAGGCCGGGGACCTCAAAGGGGACGTCAATTCCTTCTTGGTCCAAATATGGAAACTGAGGCTCAACCTGGACAAGAACTTGTCCCAGAGCTCGGGAAACCGCTGAGACCCGATCCACATACTCCTGCGAAGTCTTCTTACAAATGGTAAACTGAGGCCCAAAGACGGAAGTGACTTGCTCAAGAGCTCACTGGCGGGCTGGTGGCAGGGCCACAGGTCGGCACACTTTTCGCCGGGCCCTTCCAGGTCTCCGAAGGGCACTCTGGGTCACCACCAGCCCTGGGGTGTGGCCACGGCGCTGACAGCACGCGAACCGCGGCGGCGGCGGCGGCGGCCAGAGCGGGCACCGGGTCCCCCCGGACCCCGCAGGGGCCGCCCGGCCACCACCGCTCGCGCCTCGCAGCCGGACGCGCCCGGGGGGGACTTGTTGCTCACCTGACCTCGCGCAGTCGCCCTCAGCGACATGAAGGGCTGGCCGGCCGGCCCGTGTCCCCACGGAGTGCGCCCCGGCCCACCGCTTCGCGGGCTGCCACACTGCCGGAGCCCCCCTCAGCGCGCTACGCCCCTAGCCGCACTCCACCGGCCCGAGTCCGCCATTACGTGATTCCCCGCCCCGGGACGCAGCCACACCCCGCCAACCGTTCTGATTGGCTCTCCGCCCCGCCCGCCCTGGGCTTCCAGCGCCCCCATTGGTCTGAATCCAATGCCAATTAAATAAGTACGCAAAAGACGTATTCAAAGGTAGTGTCCCGGGAACTCCACCCGAGCGACTTCCGCAATCGGAGTAAACAGAGGCCAGGGCAAACCAAGTGAGGTGGAGGTGGAAAGAAAGGTAAATCGACGCCCAAGTTCGAGTGGAAAAACATCAGCTAAGAAAGTGCAAGGCCTCGTCAAACATAGGTCGGAAGGTGAATTCTTTTTGTTAGAGCCCAGAAATCCAGTGTTTTGGGTGGGAGGAGCGGGCCGAGCCTAGGAACTTTCTGTGGACACCCCTCGAGTCGTAAATAGTCATGTCCCTTCACGCCTGGTCCCAGGCGGGACCGAAAGTTGGGTGGAGAGTGTGAGTCATAGGCTTCAGCTCGCTCCAAAGCATAGGTGTCCTGGCTAAGCTTGGGTACTGGAACTGGGAGTTCGTTCTGAGAGGCCGCCGTCACCTGTCTTCACTCTGCAACTTCAGACAAGTCCTGCCTACCTAGTTCTCACTTTGTTCTACAAAATCGGGGCAGAAGGCCCAGGCAGATCTGCCTCCAGTCCATGAAGGTGGGAGATACAAGGATGCACGCACACCCAGTGACTTCTTGAATATAAAATGCTGCAGCTGGATGACAGTGTGACAAATCCAGTGTAGCCCATTTAGTATTCTAGAGCAAGTCTGTGTAACAGGTGTAGGCCTCTTACGGAAGAATGAATCTTAGGCAGGTAGCTGCCCTGTTACCGTCATGTCCGCTGCGCTCTTTGCAGTGAACTGAACTTTTGAAAACGAGAGTTGTGGGGAGACGCAGCTAATGTTAGTAGAACGCCGCCTTGAAAGCAAGTGGACCTGCGTTCTAGAACTCAGATTCAAAACAAGAAGTCGAACAGGCCCGATGATGCAGACCTGTAGTGCCATCTCTGGGGAGACTCACAGGCCCAGGCAGACTAGCCTGCTTGTCCACTCTAGGCCAATAAGAGAACCAGGTCGCGAAAACCAAGATGGAAGTTGCTAGAAAAGCCCCTGAGGTGATTCTCTGGCCTGCACATATACACCCTCACACACAACATGCACACACACACACACACACACACACACACACACACACACCATCCAGAATTCTGAAATAAGTTTTGCCCACAGTCACCCGGGTAATTAGAAATGACCCTAGGGCTCGAACCTACATCACTTAGCATCTATCCCTGTTTTCTTACTCTTAGACATCTTATCACCTGAAAAGGGCTATCCTCCCCCACCCCCTTAGGAGGCCAGGGTAGCCCTAAAGGTGCCAGGACAATGCTCCTTTCACTCCTGTCAACATAAACTTGGCCCCTGCCATCTACCAGCTAGACCAATATTCTTGTGGAAATGTGCCCCAGGGATGTGGTCAACATGCTCCTAGCATTCTAGGGGTCAAGAGGGAAGAGATGACAAGTAGGTGAACAACTTAATCAGAAGCCAGATGAGGTTGCCACTGTGGGAGGTCAGTGAGGTGACCAAATGCCAGGTTTTTATTTTTATTATATTTTATTTATTTGTTTATTTATTTATTTAGAGACAGGGTTTCTCTATTATGGAGTCCTTGGCTGTCCTGGAACACTGTGAGCCAGGCTGGCCTGGATTTACAGAGATCCCCCTGCTTCTGCCTCCCCAGTACTGGAATCAAAGGCATTTGCCACCACAGCTGGCATTTCCAGGTCTTCGGTCAGGTCTGTCCGCTCTTGCGAGCAGAGCTCTGGCCGGCAAGGACTGCTTTGAGTGTGTTTCCAAGTCCTTTTCCCTCCCCCAAGCTTAAGACTTCAGAAAGGCTAACACTGCCAGGTAAGCAGTGCAGACAGGGCCCCAGAGATCTCTGGATTAGTGTTTCCTGGGCTTGGATTGAGACACTCAACCTGACATGTGACTGTTGAAATCCTAGTGTGACTGGAGAGGGAGGGAGGCGGCTGTGCACATGACAAAGGCTTTGGGCTGAGACTGATCAAAGACAGAAGCATAACTCCACCACTCTCAGTCAGCCTGTGCCTCAGGGACCGTTCTCTAAGGTGTGGACAACAGGGGCTGGAGAGACGGCCTTACAGAGGATCCAGGTTCAGTTTCCAGCACCTACAAAGTGGCTCCCAACCACCCAGAACTCCAGTTGCAAGGGACCTGACACCCTCTCCTGACCCCGATGGCACTGCATATACATGGTACACATGCATACATTTGATGCACACGTAAAACAAAATAATTAAACCTAAAAGAAACAAATGTTTTGGTGTAGACAATGGAGCAATTAATTGTGAGAGTTCAGTGAATTAATGGTAGACTCAATGAGTACACAAAGCTCCCAGTAGTTATTTATTCACTAGTAGATTCATCCATTCAAGAGAAACTACTGAAATGGTTCAACAGGTAAAAATACTTGTTGCCAAGCCTGATGACCTCAGTTCAATTCCCAGAACCCACTTGGTGGAAGGAAGAGAAGCAAGGTGTCCTTTGAATTTCACACCCAGGCCTTGGTATGTCCATGCCCTTACACATGTTCACACACGTACACACATACACTCACTAAATAAATATTCTTTTAAAAATGCTAAGCACCTACAATATGTAGAGCACCCTGGGAATGGACAGCTGCAAGGGTGAGCAAAACAGCCTGGGACCCTCACGGAGCTTAGAGTTAAAGTTCAATTAACCAGCAGGCACTTCAAAATTCCGTGTGAAGCTGGGCGGCAGTGGTGCATGCCTTTAATCCCAGCACTCGGGAGGCAGAGCCAGGCAGATCTCTGAGTTTAAGGCCAGCCTGGACTACAGAGCGAGATCCAGGACAGGCACCAAAGCTACACAGAGAAACCCTGTCTCAAAAAAAAAAACAAAAACAAAAAAAAAAAAATTGGTGTGGAAAGGAGCGAGAGGGCAAAGAGCAATGTCTTCACCAGAATGAGTGTGGGTCGGAGGAAGCATCCTGAGCAGGTGGTATCGGGGTGAACTGAGGAACAGTGGGGGAGAGTGTCTGCCCATAAATGAGCTGGAAGTTGGAAAAAAGTGGTACAAGTCAAAAGATGGGCCCAGAAGGAACGAAGCCGATGAGGAGACTGGCAGGGGGGATGGGGCAAGGCACACAGGACCTTCAATCCCGTTATTGCCAAATGAATAAGGATATTACAGGGGAGGGAATCTGCCTTTGAAAGTGGAGCTGTTCCCTGAGGATCTCTGCACTGTTTTGAAAGAACAGTCTTCAAGGTACACTCTCTTGGGTTTGAACCTTAACCGTACCACCTTACCTGGGACTGAGGGACCTGGCAGGCACATATCTTGCTGTACCTCCCCTACTTATTGGAGGATTGAAGATGATATGATAGAAGGTCATAAATTAGGGGATGATGTTTTTGTTTGTTTGTTTGTTTGTTTGTTTGTTTTTTGAGACTGGGTTTCCCTGTGTAGCCCTGGATGCCCTGGAACTTGCTCTGTAGACCAAGCTGGCCTCAAACTCACAGAGATCTGCCTGTATCTGCCTCCCGAGTGCTGGGACTATAGGCATGTGCCACCACTGGTTTGACACATAAAAGTCACTGTATAAATGGTGTTTGGTTGACCCGGCATCCAGGGAGGTACGTCTGAAGCAGCAGATCCAGCCAATGGATTGAGATAGAACTGAGACAGACATCTGTGCCCTAGCCCTGTTAACATCTGATCTTAAGACTTTGGAGCTAGCCAGGCAGTGGTGGTGCACGCCTTTAGTCCCAGTACTCGGGAGGCAGAGGTGGGAAGATCTCTGTGAGTTCGAGGCCAGCCTGGTCTACAGAGTGAGTTCCAGGACAGCCAGGGCTACACACAGAGAAACCTTGTCTGGAAAAAAAAAAAAAAAAAAAAAGACTTTGAAGTCAGACAATCTGGCTTTAAGTCATTTTTTGATAACTTCTTTCTTCAGTGTGTGATTTTGTTATTATTTGGTTTTTGTTGTTTGGGGTTATTGTTTATTTTGGTTGGCCTCAAACTCAAGGCTGTCCTCCTGCTTGAGCTTTCTGAGTCCTGAAATTACCAGTATGTACCACCAAGTCTAGCTATGGGCAGGGTAATTCATCTCTCTTGAGTTTGTTTCCTTATCTGAAAGATACGGATCATAGCTGGGCTTAGTAGCCCACTGTAGCTGGAGAGTTTCTCTCCAGCTTCCACCAAACCCCTACAGTCCCGCAGCCCACTTATAAAATAAACACACAGACTCTTTTTTTTTTTAAAGATTCATTTATTTAATGTATGTCTGTATGAGGGTGTCAGATCCTCTGCAAGTGGAATTACAGACAGCTGTGAGCTGCCGTGTGGGTGCTGGGAATTGAACCTGGGTCCTCTGGCAGAGCAGTCAGTGCTCTTAACCTCTGAGCCATCTCTCCAGCCCCCACACAGACTCTTATATTATTTAAACTGTTTGGCCTAATGGCTCAGGCTTCTAGCTATCTAATTCTTACATCTTAAATTAACCCATTTCTATTAATCTATACCTTGCCACATGGCTCGTGGCTTACCAGTATCTTACATGTTGGTACTCATGGCGGTGGCTGGCAGCATCCCCTCTGCCTCAGCCTTCCACTTCCCAGAATTCTCCTCTCTGCTTGTCCTGCCTATACTTCCTGCCTGGCTGCTGGCCAATCAGTGTTTTATTTATTAACCAATCAGAGCAACACATTTAGCATACAGTACATCCCACAGCACTTCCCCTTTTCTTTTTTTCAAAAAGGAAGGTTTTAACTTTCACATAGTAAAATTACATATAACAAAACAATTATCAAGCAAGAATTACAGTTACACTATCTAGTCTATTTATAATATCTAGTCTATTTGTATTTGGCAAAATTAAAGAGGATATCCTATCTATCCTATATTTGTGAGTCTAAGGTTTCATAGCTAACTTATCTCTTATTATAACTAAGGAAAATTA